TAACACTCAATTTTTAACTAACAATCCCCCACATGAGTGTAAATTAAATATATATATACTATTGTGCTCAATCCTCACTAAACTCTATTGCATCAGAAAAGGTAGCTTTTGACTTTGAACCTTTCTTAGTAAACATCATCGGATGTACTGGCGGCCTAGTGGACATAATGCCTTGAACTATTCCTCCATAGTGTACACCGAGACAATGACATTTACACAATAGAGTCTTAACTCCATTCCGTTCTATCGTTGTGTCCGTTTTGGCCATGGACAACACAATGGATTCATAAGTGTTTACATTTGAAGCGGCCCACACTTCACACTTATATAGGTGACCTCCCTATCAAGAATATCCTGTAATATTCCACCTTTACAAGGTTAGGGATTCATTAAAAGTCCATATGACTTACCCTCACCACAATCAACAGGTTATTTTGCACTTTGGAGTGCTCTAGGGAATAGCTTTGGACATTCATATGTTCCAAGTGCTCAACTGAATTTTCATAGCTTAGTTTTCCCTTTGAACCAAGTTCGTGGGATCTCCACTCAACATGGTAGGGTTACCACTATGATCATTCTTTACATTGTGGATTTTTAAGCCCATTCCCTCTAGCAAAACTGTCAATTGGTCTCTATTCAATCCTTTCGTCAAAGGATCAGCCAAATTTTCCTTAGACTTAACATAGTCAAGGGAAATAATACCATTTGTGATCAATTGACGTACGGTATTATGTCTACGACGAATATGTCTAGACTTACCGTTATACAAGTTGCTTTGCGCCCTACCTATAGCATCTTGGCTATCACAGTGAATCATCACAGGCGGCAAAGTCTTATCCCAACATGGAATATCAGATAAAAAATTTCTAAGCCACTCGGCTTCTTCACCAGCTTTATCTAAAGCGATGAACTCTGATTCCATCGTTGACCGAGCTATACACGTTTGTTTTGTGGATTTCCACGAAACTGCACCTCCTCCAATACAGAAAACATATCCGCTAGTGGAGCGAGAATCTCTCGAATCTGATATCCAACTTGCATCACAGTACCCTTCAAGTACAGCTGGATATCTCGAGTATTTAACCCGTATTCAAGGGTGTACCTCAAGTACTTAAGTACCCTTTTCAAAGCATTCCAGTGCTCATGACTGGGATTGCTCGTAAATCTGCTCAACTTATTTACCGGATAGGCCAAGTCTGGTCGTGTACAATTCGTCAAATATATCAGACTCCCTATTATCCGTGAATATTCAAACTGAGCCACTGGTTGACCTTTGTTGACTTCCAAATTTATACTGAGATCAAGGG